AGAAAAACCCATGGTGAGAAAATATTATGTATTATCTACATATTAGTAGACTATCTACCTATAAAATCGATTAAACAAGCCCCTGAAACCCCTAAATTGTCATATTCTTTTGGGGCTTTACCTCCCCCCACCCCCCACGAACCACTTTTTTTCTTCAACCTAAAGTTTCTCAGGACAACTTGATACCAATACCTTACAAATGTGTTATAATCTTCTCATTCATTCTAGTACAATCTAGTGACAAATATCAGTTATTTGAGGGAGGGAATATGTTTGTATAATTAGAGGTTTTAAAATATCAGGTGAATGTAGTGCATAAGACCTAAATAGTAACAATGATGGAATATCCCCAGCAATAGATTCGCAAATGATTACAGCCAAAACCATGGCAACACATACCTTGATACAAAGACCTATAAAAAGTAAGCTCCTGTTTCCATAGTAATTTGATGTAACTGTCAATAGTATTACACTATACAGTAGTTTATTGTGTGGATGTCTGTGTCATTTCAATTTGTTATTGCAGTATGTTGTACGTATGCAATTATAGCTATATACGATTTTCGATATCAAGGGAATTTCTTCTTTTGTTATCCAGTATATTTTTCTCATTAGTCAAATACAGCAAAACCGAAAGGATTAATCATATACATAAATTGTCATTATCTGTAGTTTGATGATCTTGTTTTGAATTTTTTTTTTTCTGTGTGAATCCTCAGTAAAATATGTGGTTTGTGATGAGATTATAATTATGGTGCTTTCATTTGCAAATTAAACTTTAACCTTTATTTGCCAATTAACAAATACAGTATATAAATAATATGTTCCTGTATTTTTTACATAGACACTGAAATTTGCTGGTATTGTTGTTAATTTAACGATTTTAGGAGCAAAGAATCTCTCAATGCTTCAATCTGCATTTCATTGGAACTTAGTAGTTTTTTTTTTATTATTCAATATGAATTTGAACGTCAGGGGAAGTTACCATATTTTAGTCCCTTAAAGACAATATGGTAAATGATCAAAAGGGACAAAAGCTAACAGGACAAAAACCACCACACCATGAACTATTACATTGTGAAAATGGGTAGGGGAACATGGGCTTTAGGGTTTATCCACAACAGTATGAGTTTTTGTGGAAAGTACCAGTACAATTATTTTCTATAGTGGAGGCTTTGTCCAACTGGTGGCTTCTGTCCAACATTCAGACAATATGTTGCTTTGGTATTTTGTGATGATTTTTTTTTTGATTTGTATTTTAAAATATAAGTAAAAATTTATAAAAAATATATAATAAATTAAATTTTAAGAATATTTTACAATATCTGAATTTGGTTATATACATTGTTACTAATATCTTGTATTGTATGACATCAGATTTTCATGTAAACATAATGTACAACTATTGGACTTAAATTGTGCTGGTATCAGTTTGATTACCATTTTCAACTCACTCTTAATCTGCTTTTAGTCTGTGTTATGGTGATGTATAAAATAATGTATTTGTAACAGGATTTACAATGAAATGAACTTTGGTTAAAAAAAAATAGATGAAGATAATTATGTTTTACCTGTACAAATTTTTTTGGGTGCTATAAAAAGTAAAACAAATATCAACTTTTAAGACAAAATCTATATAAAAAATATATTAAAGAATAAAACATAATTTTGAACCATATACTGCAATAACATACAAAATGAATACCAAATTAAATAATACTGAACAAGAAAAGAAAATCACTTTGATATTAAAACTGCCTTTCTAAATAATAATTCTTTAATACTAAAGGGATTTTTTAGATGTTTTGAACAATTGCAAATGGAATAAAATAATAATCTGTATCAATTGTAAATTAAATAAATGTATTGTTTTAACATATTTTTCAAAACTTCATAATACCTTTTTTATGCTCCTTATTTTTAAGTTTGTTACTATTGATGTGAAAGTATTAAATAACTTGTATACTCTACTGTGTCGTGGATAATAAATTGCATACAATATTTTCAAAGTCATTGTGTCTCATTAAATTTATTGTTTTAACATATTTTTCAAAACTTCATATCTTTTTTATGCTCTTTATTTTTAAGTTTGTTACTATTAATGTGAAAATATTTAGTAACTTGTTTACTGTGTCATGAATAATAAATTGCATACAATATTTTTTAAAGTTATTGTTTCTCATTAAATTTATTGTTTTAACGTATTTTTCAAAACTTCATAATACCTTTTTTATGCTCTTTATTTTAAAGTTTTTTACTATTGATGTGAAAGTACCTGTTATTTAATAATTTGTATATCACTGTGTCATGGATAATAAATTGCATACAATATTTTCTTAAAGTCATTGTGTCTCATTTTTTTAGTTGCGTAATTAAAAGATGTTAACATGTTGGCTGCCAGCGACGAGTATACTCGCCCACAGGATGTTGCTGAGGGCGCCAGGAACGAGTATACTCGTCAAAAACGGGGGAACATTCTAGCGTTTATAACTTCTTTATTATACAATGTACGACCACAGACTCAGCGCCTGGTAGTTCGGGGAAGATACACCTAGACGATAAGGTACAAATAACATATGTATGTTTGTTGTGTTATGTTGCCGGTAGTACACTCGAGCGGTACAAGTGGGAGCGCCCTTTGAACATATACCAACCCATGCAAAAAGAGGACGAGATAACTCGCACTTGTCATAGTCAGCAAAAAGTTCTATCACAGTGCCATCGACGAGTATACTCGCCCCCTAATATTTTCCCGCCAATTTATTAGACACTTCATTTTGATGACATATGAATAGATAAAAATTTCAAAAAAGTATGTTTGTACATGTAAACTTGTTTTGGCACACAGGAAGGAACCGTAAAAAAAGGTCTGGCAGTCAACGTGTTAATGTAATAAAATATACCTCTGAAGTTTTTCTTAAGCCCTGCCCAGGCTATCAAATTTTACTTGACAAAAACATGCGACATTCCTAATTATGATCCTGATGACATCACATTTTATTTCCTTCCCATCCAACAGCAAGTCCTCGCCACTTACAGGATGAGAATGATGCTTTATAAACTAACAAGTCTCTTTAAGAGTCTTAGGGAGTGGATGGAGTTGTTTTTAGTCGTGAGAAAAAGTCCTGCTGTGACAGGAGTTGAACCCAGGACCCTGGGATTATATGGCAAGCATCTTAACCACTAAGCTATTCAACTCCACTTCAATAATTATTCATGACCATTAACGTAGGCACATTATGGCTATGCAACTTTTTTTTTTCAAAGAAACTTTTATCTGGACAGTGCTTTCCATTCACACTAGAAAATTGTATAAAAACAACTTTTCTTTGAGAGACTTTTATGCTGGATATGATTGTAACATCATGTGCTCTTATTTGAGGACTATTAAGCAATTAGTAGAGCTCCGCATAGTACACTATAGGAAAATTATTATACGATGGTTAGATTTATGCTTGAAAAATTTAGCCAAGCGTCGATCCACAGATAGAAAAATTAGTGGAAGCTGGGGAATAGGCAAATAACATTGGGAGTTACAGTGATGAGTCACGATTGACTTATAATTATTATTAACATTTGAATATAGGCCTGTATTTTTTATATACAGTATTGAGTGCTTGAATAGGAATAAGAAGTATAAGATGTCACAGTTGTACAAAGCAATCTTTTCAATAAAACATATACCTTTTTTCAGTTTTATGAAAAAGGATCAGGGAGGATTCGAACCCGTCCTGCAGCCTTCTCGCCAAAATGTCCACCTTCCCCTGAGTACCAAAACAGTGGAGGTAATTCAGGTCTCACAATTGAAGATATGCAAAATATCCAAAGAAGTCATAAAAATCATTTTTGAAACAAACTTCTCATTTTGAAGTAATATAAAAGTTTAAAAAAATGTTTACCTATAATTTTACAACGAAAAATGATAGAAACGCCTCTAGTCACTGGAAGTGTTTTATTATTTGTATTATAATTATCCAGCTTAAATATCTAGGAACACTATAAACTTAAATAATTTCAAGTGATATGTTACTGCTAAATGAGCAAGTAAATTTCAAAATTTTTTTTTGTCATTTTCAAGGGACAATGCCGTCATCCTTACATCCAGTTATCGGACCAGCGAGATGTGACTACATCCATTTAAAGACCACCTTTCGTGGCCCCCAAATGATCATCTATCTTTAAGCGAGACATTTTTTTATACTTCCTTTAATGAACACGCCTCTGCCAATGATGATTTCGAATAAAAATAAAATATTATGGCATTGGCCAATCAGCTGCCATGAAAAAATGAAAGGTTTTTCTTTATTTTACGCCTGCCGCTGCTTTTAAATCTCCAAAAATATGATATGCATCATGCAATTTTAACATTTAACCAACTCAATCTACTGTTTACATTCACTAATAAAATGTTATTTTTATTTTCTCCTCCATCTGGATGTTTTTGGCAAAACTCTTTGTTATATGGGCCAATTAAATTTTTTTTTTTTATTCTGTCCTCTGACGAAACTTGAAAAAAGTTTGGTCTTATCTCTTAATAATTGTTTAAAACCAAAACTGCTAAAGACCATAAAATCCATGTCCCAAAAGTGGTTTTTAATTGGAGGGAGACCAGAATATAATTTTGCTTCCAATTTTGTTTTATTGGAATGTGTACAGTATTTGAAATTTTTTCTTCGTGGTAAAGTATACAAGTGTTGTATTTCATGAAGCCCTCTACAGAATTGTAAGCTAATAATTCTCCACAACCACACGAACAGATAAACTGAGACAACACGCGACCAAATGCAATGCAAAAGCATAGGACCATTTGCTATAACATTGATTTTCCTATACTTGAGCTTGAGCTCTCAAAAGGCTCCAGTCAATACGCGCAATTAGCCAATCAAATGCTTTAGAATTTAGCCATTCAGATTGCGACTGTTATAAATAGCTCCGCCTGGAAAATGAATAATTCAGCAGTTATTTATGAGCTAACAAATTGCACAGGTGTGTGACGTAATCGAGCTATATATCGCGGTGAATTTTTCATTCATTGCTTGTTGTTTGAAGACTGTTGTTCGCGAAGGAAGTATTTCGGTATATTATAAGGTAAGTTGAATATTGCCGTATACGTTATAAAAACTAATGTCATAGTCAGTATTTGTATGCAAGAATAAAATATATTGTTTTTCTGATCAACTTGTGTTGGTTTCGTTAAAATCAAGACAGGAATTAACGATTGAAAATGATTTCCTGATCTTGTGTTTTTTCGAAACGGAACGGCGAACTGACAGGAGGAATAAATAATAATAGAGCGGCCGCGTGGCGCGCTTTCAGTTGGTTCATTGAACGGTCAATTTGGAAATTTCATTTGCTTAAGCTCCCAGTCGCTAGCTTCAGATAGAGTGGTTACGCTAGTCGCGGAATAGCATTAACGATGTCCTCTCCAAATGATACTAGCCTAAATAATAAATTGAGCAATACACGTTTGTTCTTTTTTAGATTGAAAGATGGCTCGTACGAAACAGACTGCCCGTAAATCCACTGGAGGAAAGGCTCCGCGAAAGCAGTTGGCCACAAAAGCTGCCAGAAAAAGTGCACCATCTACTGGTGGAGTGAAGAAACCCCATAGATACCGACCAGGAACTGTGGCTTTGAGAGAAATCAGGAGGTACCAAAAGAGCACAGAGTTGCTCATCCGCAAATTGCCATTCCAGCGATTAGTTCGTGAAATTGCTCAGGATTTTAAAACCGATCTGAGGTTCCAGAGTGCTGCAATTGGAGCCCTCCAGGTAAATGTTTCATAGTACAGTATATATTGTTCAAAATTAATCTCATATTTTTATAACAATTTTGTACTAATAATGCAATTTTTACTATTTTCAGGAAGCAAGTGAAGCTTACTTGGTCGGACTTTTTGAGGACACCAACTTGTGCGCAATTCACGCCAAGCGTGTAACAATCATGCCAAAAGATATCCAGTTGGCTCGAAGAATCAGGGGAGAGCGAGCCTAGATTGCTGCAACCTTATGACCTCAATTGACATTTTGATATAATATACTGTAGTAAAATAAATAACCTGTACAGAATTTGGTGTGTTTATTCGATATTGATGCTACCCGCAAATGACCAAATAGATTTGTTGCAGTTTTGCTTGCCGGTACCAGCGAACAGCAGTTTGAAAAGAGTATTTGTGAAGTCTTGTAGCATTATTGTGAACATTTTTTAATTGTCGCATATGTTGGTAGATAGGCTTCATGGATTATTTTTTAACCCTTTGCATGGATAGTTTAGCATTCAGTTCATTCAGTAGTTTTGGTGTGTCTTATAAATACTTAGTACATCAGCATTTGAAATAGCATTTTGTAAATTGAGAACCAGTGTCTTTTAGATACTTTTTTAAATCTGTTAAATTCAATTGGAGAACAAATAGGCCAGTTTTGGTATAAAAAAAAATTTAATATAACTTATTTTGCATACTTCCGGTAACAGTACTGGCGACGGATTCTTGTTCTCTGTCAGATTAAGCACTTGAAGTGCAATCATTTGAAGAGAGATTAAACCAGTAATAAATGTGAAAAAAAAACCAAACCATTTTGATTGTCCTGTATTTTGTTTCATTCTGCTGTCGATTGTTTGATGCACTATATATATATATATATATATATATAAAAGTCGCATGTATATCTATTTCGCAACTGCCAGTAACTTGTGCAATACAGTAAAACTTAAGCTGGGTATTCACTGCGTTGTACTGTTGAAGAATGCAACAATTGGCCACGACGGATTGTTTTGATGATTTATTGTCAAAACAAATCTGTTGCGCTCTACTTATAATTGTCTTGCACAGTGGGTCCCAGGCCTATAGTCCCCACAGTAAAATTCAACTGCACAACATTTGCCATGCACATCTCATTAGTACATGTCAGTACTGTACATAAAATTCATTGCTGTGCATTTGTTAATATTATTTTGAATGCCAAATTGGAATCGAAGGCATTCCTGGTCTTTTCTTAATTGGACTGTCAAATCCAAAATGCCATTGAAAAATTGTTTGACTTTGATAAATAAAATTGGATTTGCAGATTTTTAATGGAAAACAAGAAGACTTTCGAAATTGATTTAGGCAAATATCAGTGGTGGTGTAATGGGGGTGGGGACCCTGCTACAGGCCCTTTCAAACATTTATATCAAAAGTTTGCCTGAATTGGATAGGCCTATATAAATTACAGTACAGTAATAAATAGTTTGGATGCTGACACCATTTTTAGATCAAGATGCTCTCTGAGCATCTAGCGCCTTAATGTTTTTTTTAAATTTCTCATTTGGGTGGTGGCTTTGCACCAAAGTACATCTCTTCCCCTGTCTATCACGGCGTTGCCCTGCCATCGAGAATATTCTAGTACTACCAGTGGGAAATTTAGGTGAAATTCACTAACAAAATTAAACAACAGTAGGCTTAAATTTTCAAGCAATAACAAAATTTATTTATACTCTACAATACAATATGCAACTCTGTATCTACTCCACACAGTCCAGCTTCAGTACAGTATAAGCAGGGGTGTATCCAAAGATGTCTGAAAGGGGGGTGATCGAGATAATACCACCCTGGGAGTCCGGGGATGCCCCTGCAAAATTGTTGTTTACTAGACGCGATCAATTTTTTTTTCCCAAAAGGGGCCTATGCCAGCCCAACCACACCCACCCCAAATCCCCCTTTCCCCTTAAATCCAACCCTGATAAGTGTGCAAAATCAAAATTTGTCTTTGGTGCATAGTATGGTATGGTAGCATCACAAGTGTTGAGTTATAGCAAGTACAAAGTGTACTGTACATAATATTGCCTCCATGATTGAACTGATCATTGAAGTCCACTGTGGCTAACTTGCAACTGTTAATTTCTTCTCGTGATTCTCATTATCCTTTGACTCTTCAAACAACCCTGGCAAGCTATCCTGAAGGCTCCTGTTTAATTTCTGATCAACTTCAGTCTCTTCACGTGTGTATATCCATAATAGGAGAGCAATGCCTGTGATGGAGAAGGTTAGTACTTTTTTTAAAGGTTGCTTATGTTTGTCACCAAAAGAGTTGCCTACAGTCATTATAGCAGCCTTGCTTTTTGAATAAACTAAAGGTTTGTTCGGATCCTCTTCTTCAGTTTGTTGTCTGCAGAGATATTGTGTTGATGTCATCAACGATCTTCTCTTTATTAAGGTATTCAAATGTTTTCCATGCCGAGAACATTTAAGTAGCGTGTTTAATCTAGAAACCGTAAAAAAGAATCACATTATATACTTAAACCATAGCGTCTCTAACTAAAAACAATTAACTACAGCATACGATGGTGACAATGAATATGATGATAAAGAGAACCGTAATTTTCAATTAATCATCAATTACATTGTAATCATCACCACTATCTTAATACTAGTAAAATTTCTGTAATTAAGTAATGAGCACCACTCAAATAATCCTGTGGAAATTAGAACATCCTCATAAATGTAAAAGAAATGAATGCTGTATCCATAATTATAGTGTCAATTATAACAACTGTGGCGTGGTGGTATTTTTGAAGAAAAGTATTCTATTTATTAAAGACCTCAATAACTCTTCCCTTTTTAAAAGGTTGATATCCTTTTTGTTATTTTATGTTTGATATTAAATTAATACAGAAAAATAATCTTAATGAAAAATTGATGCATGTCTATAAAAAAAATAATGAATAAAGTACAGACATTAAAAACATTGTACAAAATTACATTATACTGTAACACAATAGCATATGGGTCCTCTATTTAGTAGTAGTACTGTAAAGCAGTATTGATCAATTATATTAATAATAATATATTGTCCATTCATTCAATATATTTATCTTTCTCTATAACTCATTCATTGCTTTCGTGTATTTTGTACCCTCCTTGCTTGAGTCAAGATACAACAGAGCATGTTACCATGCGAGGTGACAAGTTGGTTTAGCCCGACCCAGTGCCCTTTTTAGAGAATTAAGGCGGGAGACCAATCAATAATATAAATTATAATGAATGATGAGACACTGGCTGGGTGGTGATGATGGTACAGCAACAGTACTCTGCTGTGTTGATTGATGAAGAGAGAGAGAGGGCGAGGTATAATAATTGTTCAATTTGAATGCCTACAGTATGTTATTTATCGTGTTTTCAGGCAAATACGTTACCTAGGAAAAGACATGTGGATACAAGCAATCTGCTGAAATGGTATCTTGCTTTTCTTCGGCAGTTCAACACTAATTTAATAATAAATTTCCTAGGCCTTGGTTAGGAAATATTCATTAACATTTTCAGCACATAAAATCCCACACTAGAAATAAATTCATTTGCTGCCCTCTATTGTTCTAATAAATTCATAGGCGTCAAGTATTTGCTGTAATATGGCACGTGCAGCGACTGGTTTGAGAAGCCTAGCAACCCCGCGAAAGTTAAGAGAAAAATGTCCGACTTCTGTTTACAAATTTAGGTAACGGTTTGCATATGTCTTTCTGAATTAAGGAATCTGTCGTTTATATTTATATTAGCGTATTTATGTCATCTCCAGGTGGCTCATGTTTTTATGTAAAATTATGTTTTCGTGGAACGTCATTATTTTCTAAGGCTAGGCTGAGATCACCATCCTCAATTTTTCAAAAGCAGGGCCAGCAGGAAGCGATTTCATCCCCATCATTAAGAACAGTATTGACAGGCCTAGGCCTACGAAAACAATCAACATCCCCAGTAAACAGCAAGGCTGCAAGAATGCCCAGAATTTTGAACGTTGCAGAGAAAAATGACGCCGCAAAGTCTCTTGCCGAGATTATGTCAGGTGGCAGATTTCGTAGGGTTAGTTTTTTTGTACTTTATTATAAAAATTCTTAGTTTAGACCTAAGTAAAAACAGGCTTAGGTCTAGCCATCGCTTTAAATACGGTACACAGCTAGACGTTTTTGGCTCCGTTACGGTTTTAGGCCAACCATAAACAAAATATTTTTCTGTATTCTTTATTGTATTACATATAGGGTGCTTGTTTGGATATTTTTCATAGATACTGTACAGTATGGTTTTGCTCGACCTGCCTGTGCGTGATCGCGTGGATCGGAAACACATATTATTTTATGTTTCAAAGCCAAATGAATCTGATTTATTTTTGTTAAATTTATTTCAATGTAAACTTGGTTAGTAGTATTTACTCCATCATTACTTTGAATATTTTTTGTTTGGCAAGCTTGCCAT